CACTGCCAAGGACCTGTTTCCTGAAATGTGAGGAGAAATCTGAGCTGTTTGTCCTACCGACGGAAGAACCATGACGAAGTCAGTGGTTGAAATTTCTTTTTAACACTGTTCCTTCAGAGGTTCGAAGAACCGGCATTTCACAGACGAAAGCTTCCAAAACATTGCCCAGTTTGAGGCCGGATATGCACAGCATTTGAAACTGAAGGACGATGCTATTTCTAGTTTGTTTGGACCGTTTGGAGCAGGGGAAGATTCGGGTACACAACCTGTAAGTTTGCATTGTTATTTGTGTATTTATCAAACAAGACTGTTTAAATGTATAAACTGTGTCAGACTGCTAAGCCATTGACACAGTGCTAACTGTGCTAACTAAGTTGCTAGCGTTTCCATATATCAACTCTAATATCAGCAGATGGCCTTGCATACAGTACATGTATCTCATAGCAGGAAAATGTCTGCATTCACACACGAAATACTCATAGACAGTATACTCCGGGTGATTTGCCGTACGGTCAGTCGCGAAACGTAATTACATTATAGCTGGCGTAGCGTGTATGCTACCGAGCTAACCAACGGAGCTAGACATGGGTTTGCTCTGGAAAACACGTTCTTGCTAGCCTAATATGAATCACTAGCTTTTGTTCATAGTGGTTTTATTACACTAAACAAGCCCAGCTCATACAGTATACTCCGGGTGATTTACCGTACATTGTGACAGTACATGTACATGTACGTTACCCAATAGCGATAGCCTTAGAGGGCGAAGCCATATACGAAATAGAACAAAACATCAACATGCTAGCTAGGGCTTTACAGCGTGGAGGCCTGAAATGAGAGGGAGAATTACTTGTTAAATAAACATAAAGCACCGGACAAAAGGACATGACAAAATTGACATAAAGAATAAACTTTCACAATAAGTTTCTTAGACATGACAGAATTTGTCTCTGAAACATGATTTATTAGAAAAATGTTATGTGTTTGTTTGATAGATACGTTTTTTCTTTGCAAATAAATGCATTCGTTTGTAGATGGCGTTTTGTATTTGCAAACCACATTGTGTTTGTTAGTGAATCATGAGGCATTTGTAAAACCTGTTTAGCTTGTGTGTGGAGTTATGGCAGGAATTTAGCTCCATAGGTTTCCACGTGACTCTGACGTGTGTTTACTCTCTGGATTTCTGAGGGTGTGAAGGCGTGTTCAGATCAGATGCAGGCAGACTCAGGACTGAAGAGGAAGAGATGAGCAGAGGCGTGTACACGCTCAGGGGATGAGTGGAAGTGTGTGCAGTGCCGTTCACATGAGGCGTTATAACGGCGCTCATGGGCTTATTATGACCGTGTGTAGGAGACGTATCTCGGACAGAGGAATGCCGCGAGCTCTGCGGTTCATTAACCGATAGGTTAAAACCAGCAGGCTTCTGCAGCGAGCCCCTGATTTCTTCCCCTTGAGGAACCCTGGAAATAGCCTCTTTCAACAGGAGTTCCTGCAGCTCTGACTAGAGCGTAAGACACTGTTCCTGGGATGACAGGAGTGTTTCCTGTATCCCATTGAACTGTGGGGGGGGGGGGGGGGGGGGGGAGAGACGAAAGACAAGGAGACATACACGAGTTTACAAAACCACGGCACATTTATTGTGGTAAATGCAGAGATAGGTGGTCGAGGGGAGAGGATCGCCGAGCCGCTTTGGAGAGAGAGAGGGGCCGCCGTGTGACTCCGGGCAGCTGGGCTTAATAGCACCTCGGCTCCGGCCAGGTGTCCGTGATCGCGCTGATTAGCCTCTTCAGCTCCACCCCATCGTAAGACAAAGGCCCTGGGGCCGTCACACTCTTCTATAACAACAGTTGTAGGTACAGTTCGGTTAGTTAGCGTATACAATATACGGCTGTACCGACGCCATTATAAGACTGATGTTCCGCTGAGAGCGAGCCGAAAAAAGCACTGTTAGACATGGGCGGAGCCTCTCTGGTGGTTGACTAATCAGAACAGAGTGGCCGAGCTGACCAATCGGAGCACACTAGGCTCACAGGGAGGGGGGGGCAAGAGCTCCAACGAGTCGTTTAGTGGAGAGAGTGAATACTGCTGAATACACATACTTGACAGAGATGCTGTATGCGAAACCAATGTGAGTTGAGTAGATGGCATTTTGTATTTGCAAACCAACGCAAGAAATCTACCCTCGTGGGGGCGCGCTCATGTGATTGGCTTAGAATTGAGGAGACATCTGATTGGCTATAGATAGAACAAATTACAAGTACGAATCGGGTGACCGTCAGGGAAGTCTCAAAAAACCCACACACGAATGCACAGCGATCCATGCACAGAAAGCGGGTTGTGTTTGCCGGTGCAGCGGTTTTAAAAGGAAAACAAATATGTGAGGATCAAAAATACATATGTAAAACTTTTTTCTGTATTTGGATTTTATTTACATGTATATGAAACGGAACACATTTGTGTGTGCATTGACAAACACAAGTGTGGATCCGGAAATACAAGTGTGAATCCTTTTGCGGATCATGAAATACAAGTGTGAATCCTTCTGTGTGCATGTGTGTATTATGAGACTGTTCTGAGACTGTGTGTGTGTGTGTGTGTGTGTGTGTGTGTGTGTGTGTGTGTGTGTGTGTGTGTGTGTGTGTGTGTGTGTGTGTGTGTGTGTGTGTGTGTGTGTGTGTGGTGTGTGTGTGTGTGTGTGTGTGGTGTGTGTGTGTGTGTGTGTGTGTGTGTGTGTGTGTGTGTGTGTGTGTGGTGTGTGTGTGTGTGTGTGTGTGTGTGTGTGTGTGTGTGTCATACTTGCCAACCCTCCCGATTTTCGCGGGAGATTTCATTGCCCTCTCCCGGTTTCCTCCGGGGGTCATATTTCTCCCGCATTTCTCCCGATTTCTGACAAAATCAGATTTACTCACGACTGTTTCCACTCGGACTTTAATACAGCTACACCATTGTTTGGTTTCCATGGTAGCGCGTCTCTTTAGCAGCGCGCGCAACTCAAAGTCTGAGAGGGTGAGGAAGATGAAAACTGAACAAGAATCGACAACTCGACCCTCTGCTCACTCCTTTCCACCCGGTCGGCCTGGCGGGCGACATACTGGTCTCTGGGGGCGCTCAACGTAGGGCGCCGTCCGGCGCCTGTCTTACCCCAAAAAAAATGGCAGAACCGAACGGTGAACCGTGGAGGGAGGCGGGGCAGGAGTCGTCCGACTCCTGCCCGGCACTCGGCCCCAGGGACATGAGGCCCCCGTCCGCGGGCTCGTAAGCCCGGATGGGCCAGCACGTGGAGACGGGCACAGCAGGTGCATGCACCCACTGTGCCTGTCTCCCCCCGGCCGAGGAGGGCACACAGCATGTGAATCCAGGCAGGACTCACACACTGTGTGCTAGTCATAACTCATTATGAACCCAGAGCCACATGAGGGACAATCTCTCACACAATTGTCACCCATGTTTACTCTGCAATTTGAAGTGTCTCTTGTGCTTCAGTAACGGGGTGCTGAAGAAAAGAGGGAGCAGATTGTCGGGCCTCCTTCCTATTTATACCGGAAGGGAGCCCGAGGGTGGGGCCCACCTTGCGGGCGGGCGTGGACTACAAGTGTTTCAGTGCTGCGTGGTGAAGTAAGAAGATATGATTCTACACTGTATTGAAGTAAACATATATTGTTTGAACGGGTTTTGATAATCACTTAGAAAAAGAATGTTATTCTCACTTTTAAATTCACTGACTTAGAGATTCTGTGTTTCACACACCAACATTGATCCTTATCACCACTAAGAGCCAGATGCTGTTTCTAAGTCGTTAAAGACATCGTAAAATAGGAAAAGATCCCCTGGAAAAGGTAGGGAGGGGAGATCGGGACGGAGATAAGAATTGACTTTTGACCTTAGGGGACTTTGGAATTTCAAGTCCTGGAGAGAACTATTGAACCCGGCCAGAAGCGAATCCAGCCAGTCAGGGCACTTGGGGGAGGTGGTCAGTTTAAACAGCTCCTCCCCAGGGGTTCTCTGATTCGCTTGGGAGAAAAGTGGGAAGGAAGAATCGACAAATCTCCGCCCCAAAAATGGATAGAAATACTGATGATTTTGAGTGTAAAAATGCTTTTTGGGTTTGGTGAGTGGTTGACTCCGTTGAAGTGTGTCCGCATCGCACCATTGACAGAAGGCACTCTCTTCTCGTTCGATGGGTGGTTTGATCCCGATACATTTTAGCCGCATCGCATCACGAATCTAAAAGCCCGGAGTACCCGGGGTACTCTGTATAACTTGTATATGTGTTTGGTTTCCTACTAGAAGTAAACTCAGATAATTTGTTATAACTTTGATTCCGGTGTTTTCAATTCCTTTCTTAATTTAATAGAGATCCAGCCTCATCCAACGAACGGCGCGTAGCAGAGGTATTCTACTCCAACAGCGGGTGCGCAGGGGGATTACCCAATAGCGATAGCCTTAGAGGGCGAAGCCATATACGAAATAGAACAAAACATCAACATGCTAGCTAGGGCTTTACAGCGTGGAGGCCTGAAATGAGAGGGAGAATTACTTGTTAAATAAACATAAAGCACCGGACAAAAGGACATGACAAAACCAACATAAAGAATAAACTTTCACAATAAGTTTCTTAGACATGACAGAATTTGTCTCTGAAACATGATTTATTAGAAAAATGTTATGTGTTTGTTTGATAGATACGTTTTTTCTTTGCAAAACTAAATGCATTCGTTTGTAGATGTCGTTTTGTATTTGCAAACCACATTGTGTTTGTTAGTGAATCATGAGGCATTTGTAAAACCTGTTTAACTTGTGTGTGGAGTTATGGCAGGAAATTAGCTCCATAGGTTTCCACGTGACTCTGACGTGTGTTTACTCTCTGGATTTCTGAGGGTGTGAAGGCGTGTTCAGATCAGATGCAGGCAGACTCAGGACTGAAGAGGAAGAGATGAGCAGTGTTTCTGTGAGTGGACCTGAAGAGAGTCTGTGAGTGGACCTGAAGAGAGTCTGTGAGTGGACCTGAAGAGAGTCTGTGAGTAGACCTGAAGAGAGTTCAGCAGGTGAGAATCCTCATGATCACATGGTGCTGGGTAGGGCTGTGCAATTAATCGTATTTTAATCGCAATTACGATTTTGGCCTGCCACAATTACGAAAACAACATAATCGAAAAAAACGATTATTTTGCTTTGCTAGGTTGTGACAGTGCACTGCAACATATTTGATCAAATGTATTTGTATTTATCATATTTATATATGTTTAGTAGCTTGTTGAAGTGCGCTCCAAAATATTTGTTGATCTTGTTTATTGGTATTTATTATTGTGATATTATTTATTTAAAGCTCCGATGTCATGCTTTTCCGGTTATTACCCGTCCCCTTGTGTGTTATGAAGGTTTTTTATGCATGTAAACGGTGTGCAGAGTCAAAACCCTCAAAGTACACCCTGTAGCGAGTAAAACTCTAACACAGAAAATACCTCCCCAAAACGCCTCGTTGGAGATACGTCACTGCCCATTTGAGTCTTCCATTTAGTTCCGGGTACGGCATGATGTCATGCGGTACCCGGAACGAAATGGACCAATCCCGATGAGCTATGGCCACACCCAGCGGCGCTGGCCGCACCCTCTGCCAGCCTAACATTTACTGTTGGAAGCTCTGGTTCAGTTCACAATCGATCCAGTCATGCCACTGCCAAGGACCTGTTTCCTGAAATGTGAGGAGAAATCTGAGCTGTTTGTCCTACCGACGGAAGAACCATGACGAAGTCAGTGGTTGAAATTTCTTTTTAAACACTGTTCCTTCAGAGGTTCGAAGAACCGGCATTTCACAGACGAAAGCTTCCAAAACATTGCCCAGTTTGAGGCCGGATATGCACAGCATTTGAAACTGAAGGACGATGCTATTTCTAGTTTGTTTGGACCGTTTGGAGCAGGGGAAGATTCGGGTACACAACCTGTAAGTTTGCATTGTTATTTGTGTATTTATCAAACAAGACTGTTTAAATGTATAAACTGTGTCAGACTGCTAAGCCATTGACACAGTGCTAACTGTGCTAACTAAGTTGCTAGCGTTTCCATATATCAACTCTAATATCAGCAGATGGCCTTGCATACAGTACATGTATCTCATAGCAGGAAAATGTCTGCATTCACACACGAAATACTCATAGACAGTATACTCCGGGTGATTTGCCGTACGGTCAGTCGCGAAACGTAATTACATTATAGCTGGCGTAGCGTGTATGCTACCGAGCTAACCAACGGAGCTAGACATGGGTTTGCTCTGGAAAACACGTTCTTGCTAGCCTAATATGAATCACTAGCTTTTGTTCATAGTGGTTTTATTACACTAAACAAGCCCAGCTCATACAGTATACTCCGGGTGATTTACCGTACATTGTGACAGTACATGTACATGTACGTTACCCAATAGCGATAGCCTTAGAGGGCGAAGCCATATACGAAATAGAACAAAACATCAACATGCTAGCTAGGGCTTTACAGCGTGGAGGCCTGAAATGAGAGGGAGAATTACTTGTTAAATAAACATAAAGCACCGGACAAAAGGACATGACAAAATTGACATAAAGAATAAACTTTCACAATAAGTTTCTTAGACATGACAGAATTTGTCTCTGAAACATGATTTATTAGAAAAATGTTATGTGTTTGTTTGATAGATACGTTTTTTCTTTGCAAATAAATGCATTCGTTTGTAGATGGCGTTTTGTATTTGCAAACCACATTGTGTTTGTTAGTGAATCATGAGGCATTTGTAAAACCTGTTTAGCTTGTGTGTGGAGTTATGGCAGGAATTTAGCTCCATAGGTTTCCACGTGACTCTGACGTGTGTTTACTCTCTGGATTTCTGAGGGTGTGAAGGCGTGTTCAGATCAGATGCAGGCAGACTCAGGACTGAAGAGGAAGAGATGAGCAGAGGCGTGTACACGCTCAGGGGATGAGTGGAAGTGTGTGCAGTGCCGTTCACATGAGGCGTTATAACGGCGCTCATGGGCTTATTATGACCGTGTGTAGGAGACGTATCTCGGACAGAGGAATGCCGCGAGCTCTGCGGTTCATTAACCGATAGGTTAAAACCAGCAGGCTTCTGCAGCGAGCCCCTGATTTCTTCCCCTTGAGGAACCCTGGAAATAGCCTCTTTCAACAGGAGTTCCTGCAGCTCTGACTAGAGCGTAAGACACTGTTCCTGGGATGACAGGAGTGTTTCCTGTATCCCATTGAACTGTGGGGGGGGGGGGGGGGGGGGGGGGGGGGGGGGGGGGGGGGGGGGAGAGACGAATTGCAGGGTGCACCCTCTGCTGATCAGCCAGCCTGCTCGTCCATCTGTCCATCAGACACACGCGCTGCCACTCTGAGAAATACTCTGAGAGCGGGCGCACATGCTCAAGATGTGTTGTGGTCGTCATGGCGACGAGCCACGTCAGAGCCCTCGCCGCCGCTGCCCGTGAGGCAACCCAAGGTGGGCCTGGAGCGAAAGGGCTGTGAGGGAGCCTCCACACGCTGCGTGTCACTCCGGCTCTCATCATGAGGTGTACGCGCTCAGGGGATGAGTGGAGGTGTATGCAGTGCTGTTCACATGAGGCGTTACAACGGCGCTCATGGGTTTATTATGACCGTGTGTAGGAGACGTATCTCGGACAGAGGAATGCCGCGAGCTCTGCAGTTTATTAACCGATAGGTTAAAACCGACAGGCTCCTGCAGCGAGCCCTGCTGTCTACTAATCAACAGATTAGTGGCAGCCGGCGTAATTAGCGAACTCTGCTTTTGCAACGAGCCCTGCTGGCTACTAACCGATAGGTTATAGGCAGCACCCCCCAGAACGTCAGAACCGGCTCTGCTTCCTCGGAGGCTCTCGTTGAGCAGACCAGGAGTGGGGGAGCCTCACTCCCCTTTGACTCGCCGCCGGGAGACCCTGTCTATGGGGTGGCGGAGGACCGGAGACGTGGGCTTTACGGAGCCCCCGCAACCGCCGAAGGGCGAGCCTGGCGCCGAGGCGGTTGCCTGAAAGGCACACTGGTGCACCCGGTCGGCCTGGCGGGCGACATACTGGTCTCTGGGGGCGCTCAATGTAGGGCGCCGTCCGGCGCCTGTCTTGCCCCAAAAAAAATGGCAGAACCGAACGGTGAACCGTGGAGGGAGGCGGGGCAGGAGTCGTCCGACTCCTGCCCGGCACTCGGCCCCAGGGACATGAGGCCCCCGTCCGCGGGCTCGTAAGCCCGGATGGGCCAATCGTTGCTAGCGTTTCCATATATCAACTCTAATATCAGCAGATGGCCTTGCATACAGTACATGTATCTCATAGCAGGAGAATGTCTGCATTCACACACGAAATACTCATAGACAGTATACTCCGGGTGATTTGCCGTACGGTCAGTCGCGAAACGTAATTACATTATAGCTGGCGTAGCGTGTATGCTACCGAGCTAACCAACGGAGCTAGACATGGGTTTGCTCGGGAAAACACGTTCTTGCTAGCCTAATATGAATCACTAGCTTTTGTTCATAGTGGTTTTATTACACTAAACAAGCCCAGCTCATACAGTATACTCCGGGTGATTTACCGTACATTGTGACAGTACATGTACATACTGCATGTATAGCTAACGAGGCTAGCTATACATGCTAGCGCAAAAACAATGTATTCATGACCGTTACAATGAATGACCGAACGTAGCAGACTACCCGTATAAGATTGCAATTATAAACACGTTATTGCTAGCCTAATATGAACCACTAGCTTTTGTTCATAGTAGTTTTATTACTCTACATTATAGTTGCCGTTCCTCCGAGCTAGCGTTCATATCGTGTTAGCTACCAAGGTAAACAAAGCTAGGTTAGCATATTAGCTGGCAAGCTACTGTGTTCATTAGATAGACTCTTACCACAACTACTACTAACGAATCTAAAACAACTAAGTTTCTCTAATATTTTGTGATTTGCATTTGATTTTGTCCAGCCAGATCCTGCCGGACAATACATGACGGGACTACCACACTGATGCATCGTCCTATATGTATATTTACGTTCATTTTGTACATTTCTAAAAATAAAGTTTAATGGAAATACTTAGTAGGCCTATCCTTTCTTCCCTGAATTATTTGCTCCTATAACGTATCATTCATATATAGCAAACCATGATTTGATTTCTCATCAAACAGTAGTAGTTTATAACAGGTAAAAATAACTTACTCTTTGTTATGACCGGCTCGTAGGCCACAACGGAAAGACAAGGAGACATACACGAGTTTACAAAACCACGGCACATTTATTGTGGTAAATGCAGAGATAGGTGGTCGAGGGGAGAGGATCGCCGAGCCGCTTTGGAGAGAGAGAGGGGCCGCCGTGTGACTCCGGGCAGCTGGGCTTAATAGCACCTCGGCTCCGGCCAGGTGTCCGTGATCGCGCTGATTAGCCTCTTCAGCTCCACCCCATCGTAAGACAAAGGCCCTGGGGCCGTCACACTCTTCTATAACAACAGTTGTAGGTACAGTTCGGTTAGTTAGCGTATACAATATACGGCTGTACCGACGCCATTATAAGACTGATGTTCCGCTGAGAGCGAGCCGAAAAAAGCACTGTTAGACATGGGCGGAGCCTCTCTGGTGGTTGACTAATCAGAACAGAGTGGCCGAGCTGACCAATCGGAGCACACTAGGCTCACAGGGAGGGGGGGGCAAGAGCTCCAACGAGTCGTTTAGTGGAGAGAGTGAATACTGCTGAATACACATACTTGACAGAGATGCTGTATGCGAAACCAATGTGAGTTGAGTAGATGGCATTTTGTATTTGCAAACCAACGCAAGAAATCTACCCTCGTGGGGGCGCGCTCATGTGATTGGCTTAGAATTGAGGAGACATCTGATTGGCTATAGATAGAACAAATTACAAGTACGAATCGGGTGACCGTCAGGGAAGTCTCAAAAAACCCACACACGAATGCACAGCGATCCATGCACAGAAAGCGGGTTGTGTTTGCCGGTGCAGCGGTTTTAAAAGGAAAACAAATATGTGAGGATCAAAAATACATATGTAAAACTT